CCCAACAACCCCTCTGAACGACTCGCCGGAGACGAGCGCCTGAAGCAGCTTCGGCGGCGGCGGCACCGCCACATCCACCATCCCTTCCAACATCTTCACCACCATCCCCATACTCGGCCTCCAACTCTCCTCATCCTGTATACACCAAATCGCCACCAACCCAACCCTAGCCGCCTCTCCCACATCGTAATCCCTTCCCAGCCTCTCGTCCACCACAGCCCCCACATCCCCATCTATAATCCTCCGCGCCGCCCACGGAGGAAAAAACCACCTCCCCCCCTCCACGTCATCATCCTCGTCATCACCATCATCACGATCCTCTACATTCCGCCTCCCGCCGAGAAGCTCAAGCAAAGTCATCCCGTAACTGTACACGTCAGCTTTCGTAGTAATCGCCACTCCAGAAATCCACTCTGGCGCCACATAACCCCAAGTCCCCCTCATAGTCGCCACCACTCGACTAAAATCCCGACCCATGAGCTTCGCCAGCCCGAAATCCGAAACCCGAGCAGCAAAATCCTTGTCAAGCAATATATTCTCCGGCTTAATATCGCAGTGTATGATACAGCTCCGGCATTCTTCGTGCAAATAAGCAATCCCACGAGCTGTCCCCACAGCCACTCGAAACCGAGCCTCCCAGCTCAGGTTCGGAACAACAGCCGAGCCTCGCCGGAGGTACGTACTGAGAGCACCATTAGGCATGAATTCGTAAACGAGCAAACGGTGAGAGCCTTCGGAGCAGAATCCGCGTAGTCGAACGAGATTCACGTGCTGAATGCTGCCGATTGTGCAGACTTCGGCTCGAAACTCCTTCTCGCCACTTCCTGGCCGTTCGAGCCGCTTAACGGCCACGACCGATGAGTCAGCGAGTTCTCCACGGAAAACGGCACCAAAACCGCCATTTCCGAGCTTCTCCGAGAATCCTTTAGTGGCCGAGTGGAGCTCTTTGTACGAGAATACTCTCAAGTTCGTTGCTTGAATAGCGGCATCATTATCCGAGCCGCTCATCAGGTGGGCCCGCTTTCTTCTTCTCCTCACGTAGAGATTCATAATCCCTACGCCGAGAACGAATAAGACGCTGCAAGTTATCGCGATGGAGAATATCGTTTTCGTGTGGCTCTTTTTTCCGGTGTCGACCGTTTGCTGCACTCTCAAGTACAGTTTGTCATCTACCGTGCTGTCGTTACGCAAGTTCAAGAGCGGGCCGTAAAGATTCCTGCACGAGTTACTTTCTTCGTTGTGGTAAAGCCCAATGCAGGAGCAGCTTTTCAGGCACGACTTCTCGCACTCGTCACGGGTCCCAATAAACGAGACGACTGTCGTTTGCTCGTGGTTCACCGCCCCAACTTCTTCGAATTTGTCGTGCTCGCTGCAAGTCCCGCGGCCCGTTTTCAAGCAGCCGCCGGTAAAATCTTCCTTGGCCCAAGAAACATCGTTTGCAGGGGTAAAACCGTCCAGACACTGGCATGGGCTCAACGGGTTCCCATTGCACATACCCAAGCTTCCGCAAAGCCCATATACCTTGCAGACATTTTCGGGCTGGGACCAGTAAGTGGTCCAATCTCCACTCTGCTGGGACCAAGTGAACTGTTTGATCCGGCCCGTATGGTCCAAGACAAATCTAGTCAATGGGGGCTTCATCCCAGCTTCCAACGGAACCTCCGAGTAGATGAAAGTTGCCAGAGGCGTAAAGGGTTCGACAAGATTGAACTTGTAAATGTAGGGAACAGTCATTTCAGGCACACCGGCAAATCCACTCCCAGTCCAGTTACCGGTAGTCCAATACGTGTACAGATTACTCATACCAGCACTATCATTGCTGTAGTAAAGCGCGATTTCGCCATAATCGGGAGGGTTTATCCTCAGAAAGTACCTTCCCGGGCTTGGATCGATTGAGCTTTTCCAGGAATTGAGTGTCATGCCAGCTGTCAGGTTAGCCCCGGGAAATGACGTGTCAGATGGGAAATCAAAGCTCTGCCACACGATTCTACCCTCAGCGGACAAAAGAACTAGGTTCCCTTGCTCGAGCAGCCTCAGATCTGTTGCTTTTTCGGCATTTTTCGTTTCCCACAAAAGGGTTCCTGATTCTTGATCCACTACAGCTAGTTTACCGTGTACGGTGATCTCGGCCTGCGCCGAGAGCAGACTGTTGACGGGCTTTTCGCGGTTCGCGACCCAAACGTAGGTAGGAATAGGAATAGAAGCGTACCACATGCCCAAGTACCATCTGTGCCCGTCATTTGGGGCGAAAAATCCGAGCCTGAAAGTACCGTTTGGGCTTGTAATGGTGGCGTTTCCTTGGATTACGACCTGGGATTTTCCGAAAGGCTCCGCCGTTTTGCTCCCGTTGAGCGCCTGTGAGCTGGGTGCGTTCGAGCTTGGCAGTTTCTTGGGAAGATCTGCAAATTTTGCACATGGGCGCGCGAGTTTTGTGAGGAGTATTGATGAGAAAAGGAGAATGAGAAAGGGTTTGAGGGCTGAGGCCATTGGCATTTTGATTGAGAACTCAAGTGCAATAGCATTGTTGGTTGCTTGCTGAAGGTAATATCACCTTTTTTCTTCTTCAAAGAATGCAGTTGTGTGTGACTGTATACGTGAGGAAAAACTGGAAAAAGTGGGATTTTGTCCGATTTTATTTTGAGAATTTTTGTTGCTTGTTTTCTACTTTTCTTAGTAGTTGTGGAAAAATGTGGAGTCATCTGAAAAAAAAAAAATATAAAAAATAAAAAAAATATAAAAAATGTGTCACCTGCGGACAAGAAAGAAAAACAGAGGTCAAGTGCTTGTGAATTTCATAATAATACCCATGCGGTTTGTTACTTCTTGACAGCTGAGGTGTATGTCTGTTGACATGTTTAAACAAGTCGATCCAACCTTGAAATTCTTTATATTTAGAGCACTCTCAATGCTTTGGGTCTTCTAAAAAAATCACATGTTATGTAGGAAATAGACCAAGTTTATAAAAAAGTGTTTCACAATGCAATTAAAAGTGGACTTAGTCTAGCTTATGTGGCAATAAAAAAAGAGACCAAGTCCACTCTTGATTCTATTTTGGACTCAAGTGTGAACCTGTACAATCAGCAATCATTTACTATTATTATATTTTTATTGGTTGTTAGGTAGACCTAATACTTTTTTTTTGCATTGGATAGATTTTGGATTTTTTAGCTTGAGTTTGTCCATGTCATTATAGACTTAAATCTATTTATTTGCCACATATACAAAAAGAGACTCAAAGCATTGTGGGTGCTCTTAAGTACGGATTTGAACTTTTATTGAGTTGAGTTAAGCTTGACTCTTTAATTGAACAAGTCGATATTTGAGGCCAAGCGTGGCTCATATAACTTTTATTGAGTTGAGTTAAGCTTGACTCTTTAATTGAACAAGTCGATATTTGAGGCCAAGCGTGGCTCATATATCATCTGTCAATACTGATGAGTCAAATTCAAAATCTTAATAAGTTGTACTATAAAAATTAAATTACATTTGTATTTTAGACTTAACGAGTGTGGGTTTTTATTAATGCTAATTGATTTGATGAGTTTGGGTGTTTTTAAATGAGTTTGGTAATCACTGATAAGTTTTCTCTATTGGGAGAGAGAGAAATGTTCTAGTATTTAAGTTTGAACAGGATATCTCTTTCTTTCCTATTCTCCCAAAAATGTCCAAATAAAAAACAATAAAACTTAGCATTGAATTTTCTGTTGGCTGAGCACTTCGACCGCCGCGGTGTTACTTGTTTGAGTCGTGCTTTTTGGCTCTCGTCGCATAGCGGTCCTCTCGGCCGAATAACATCTCGCGTTTCTGAAACAGGTTGGTTGTGCGGTTCTCGAGGGCGATTTCGACTGCATGGCTCACGGCTTTCTCCGATTACTGCTTTGTGGTGGTCGAAGTCTTTCCTATATTTCTGGTATATGGTGGTGGGTCTCGCCAATGGTGTGGGTTGTGGCTTCGGTGGTTTATCAGCCTTTTGGCTGCCGGTTGGTGCGGGGGTTGGAGTTGGAGTTGGCTTCCAGTTTCTGGTTCGAGGGTCTTTTACTTGGGAGAGAGGAAGGGTCCGTGGGTTTTAGGTCTAGTTAGGCGAAGTATTACTGTAGTTTCTGAATCTACGACTTGAGTTATATCCCTATCCGTGGGGGTGGTTGCCCTCGGGTTCAGTATTGTGGTTTCCTTTGCGGAGTGACTTGTAAGTTGTGGCTTGTGAGGAGGGATTTATTTCTAATTGTAGTGTTCTTAGTTTTTGTTGGAGGTTGTTTTTATTCTTTTTTTTTTTCTCCCATTGGGGANGTTTTATATTGATAAAATGAAGTGATGGTCGGTGGGAGAGAAGGGTATCTTGGATTCGGATCACACTGTTGATTTATGTCCTGATAGATGAATAAACAATGGTTTAAAAAAGAAAATAATTATTTGTGCATTTAGTATATTCACCTTGAAGTATTTTATAATTAAAGTTGGAACAAAATTAATGTAAATACAATAAATACGTTATCTTTTTCGATGACTTTAATGTGATCATCATGCAAATAGTCAACATGCAACTTTGACGCACATGACACAAATCTGGAAATTCTGTTTCAGTTCCCTCTATAAAAATATTTGGATTGAGACTTCCCCTTCTCTTTATGAAATGAAAAGAAATGTAGGTCCAATCACAGGAATGCCCTCAGGAAACATGTAATTTTCAATACAACATGTAACCTTGGATGTAGTTTTAGCCTTTTAGGTATTTTAGGTTCATATGAATAATGGATGTTTGTGAGGGAAAATAAATAAATAAATAAACACAAAAATCATATAATTAGTTCAAAACTAAAAACATGAACTATACTTGTGTTGGGCCGAAATACTATTTTTACAAATATTCATACCTTCACTACAATATGTTATAGTTAAGAAAAATTATTTTCGTTCACATAGTATGATGAGTCGACCCGTCTAACTGTTAGGCTGCCCCACATAAGAATTTATGAAATTTGATTGTTAAATTTCCACCCAATAATCAAAGAAAAACCAAGCAATATTACACAAAGCACATTTTCACAAATCTTACAATCACAGATCTCACATAATCTCCCAAGTTCAGTTAACAATATACAGTGTTATGCAAATCTGCACACTTAAAATAATACTTGAATAAATCTCCCCATAAATACAACATTAATGATGAATATTGAAAGTTGCTTCAAGTTAAAGATTCATCAACCTTTACATTAAATGCAACTCACAATCATCTCATCAATCTATACTGGTCGAAAAACGGTAAGATGTTTTGGCCAATGGCACATATTTTGCCGATATGTAGCAGAGAAAGAGGATGCTTGTACCTTGTGCATTGGCATTAGTGCCCATGTGGCGACATATGTTACATATGGATCATCTACATTGTTGAGATGTCGAGAGAAAGAATGAGCTGGCAAGTGTGATTCTATAATATCCACAATGGGCCATGGCGAATCAGAAAACCGAGAAAACTTTGCAAATGGGCCTCTCAGAGAATTTCATATATCATTTCCTGCAATTTAAGAGAATTAAAAAAAAAAAAAGAAAAACAACTTTTTTCCCATTTGTATAAACAGAAAGAATAATGCAGCGTGAGAAAAGGGCCAAATCTAACTTTCAACTTTACGAACATCAACTTCAAATGTTTTCATTTTTTACTGATTGGACCCCCAATTTTTTTCGGTTTTTGAAAAGCCACCTGATCTTCAAGGGTAGTTATTGTAATTTAACTGCAGTAACAATAGGAAAAACAGAGCTTGGAGTTTTAAGCAAACCTGATCACAGATGGGACAGGTTTCACTTCTTTCCATCCATTCAAGTATGCAAGACAGATGAAAGTTATGCTTGCATTTGGTCATGATTTTAGGATTTTCAGCATCATATTCTGATGAAAAAATTCAACTTTATATTAAAAAAAAAACATCTCAAAAAGAAATAATATACAATGGCCGCAAAAAGGACCGTTTATGACTTTATTCACCTTCAAGACAAGTTGGACAACATTCCTCATCGTTTTCTGCTGCAACATTGAAAGTGTTGGGCTTAACAAGCCCAATATCAATCTTCCTTGGAGAGAGCAAATGGTGAGTTTCGTCGTTTGGGCCCACGAAGTTGGGCTTCTCAAAACTACCACAAGGCTCGGAGCCCGTGGATTGAGGCCGGCCCAAGACCACATCGTAAGGGATTGGTGCAGGTGGTGATCGGTAAGTGTCGGGTATCGACATATTAAGATTTAAATCGAGTAATATTCCGGAAGAAAGCACAGTTGCAACCCCATCGTGAGATGTTAGAGACTCGTGCTCTTCTGAAGGGGGGTACTGCAAATAAAGTTAACATTGCTAAAAGTGGGAGAAGAAAGCAAATTTATGTTGTGTTTGGTAAGCATATAACCTAAGCTTATAGCTTATTTGATTAGCTTATAAGCTCCCTGTATTCAAATAAGCTTGGTTTGGTAGGACGAGCCTTTCTAAAAAGCTCGAGCTTCCTTAGGTAGCTTTTGAAATAAGCCCATTGAAATTTTTATTTTTTTCCAAATACTTTTATTATATAAGCTAGTTTTTCAGCCGCTCGAAATTCACTTAAAAGCTATAAGCTAGCTTATCAACTAACTTTACCAAACATAGCCTTAACATGCTAAAAGGGAGTTCTTCATTATGCATAACCTATTAATAGAAAAGGCAAAGAAGGTGATATTACGGTTTATAAGAGCATCACCAATGTGACTTTTGACATTGCAAAAAATTATCCATATCATCAACTTTTGAAAGTTTGTTACTAATTTATTCTCCAATGCATCTTGTCATTAGCTCTTTCATGATGATGTGGATAGCATTTAATGTTGACAATGTTAAACTCACTTTCTAATATCTAACACCATGTTAAACATGATGACTCATTAATTCACTTTATATTTGGTTTAGTTTTTTATTATTTTTGTATTAATTAATTATTATAATTGGTCCACCTATACAAATAAATTCTTATCAAATTGATGCATTGGAGATACTAGTTTGATTCAAATTTTTAGTCTTTTAACATTATTCCTATGTGGATTAACATTACAATCATTAATTGACATGTGTTAAAAATTATTGTCTTTCAAAACCATAGCATTGGAGATGCTCTAAGTTTGTTTCTGGGTTTAACTTTTATATTAAGGGGGAAAAAAGGAAGAAACCAAATTATTCTTTTTATGTACATTCAACTCTTATCTTGTATTCGGAAATCTATCGATTCTTTATTATCAACTATCGTTCGATTAAAAATAAGTGCACTTTCAAAGGTGGACGTTATTGCATACGAATTATTTCACATACAATACTACATTTCAAGGATAAAAGAGAACAACGAAACAAAACAAACTTATGAAACAATAAATAACAAGATTAGTAGTCGAATTCAGCTTTGATCAGGAGTTACTTGCATAATGTCTAAAATGAGTGTAAAAATGAGACACTAACGTAATAATACACGGGAGTGCCATGAAAGGGCGGCCTTCTGGAAGAACAACAGCAACCTCCCATTTCCTAAGATTATTTTAATCCTGCAATCGAAAATCTTGTAAGGGTAAAACAGGCCCATTTGGCACTAAATTGAGATAAATGCTAAAATGAGAAGCATAAAATTAAGTGAAAGACTCAACCAGATATATCGAA